CTTCTGTACAGATTAAACTGTTCCTACCACTCTGACCTTCCCGTGACTTCTCCTCCCAAAAGGAACTGTACCTGAAAGATCGTAGTGACAAGCGTTAATCTTATTAACCTTAACGCAACGCGATACATGCTCTCGATTGGCGTCGCACTCCTCTTCCTTTCCGGCAGTGGACCTGAATGTGGTAGCAGCTAGGATCGCCCTCTAACCTAGCTGCGGCGACCTTGATGAACCCGACTTGAAACGTGGTCGTCCGCTTTCATGGCTGTCACTGCTGCCGCTTTGTCCCCCTATCTTTTCTCTCCACGTCCCGCTTCGTGTCAATTCGCGTACGATTCCGGTAATCGAAACTACTTCTCAATTCGCGTATGGGCTCACGCGAAACTAGGCGTTGGTCTCAAACTAATCGATATTGCTTCTCTTGCTAATTGGATGTAGGCTACAAAAGCGCATACAAGCGTTGAGGCTTAAGAATTTAAGCTGCGGCCACGGACACGCACACAGCCTGAAGAGACAGCTGGAAGACCCTCCTGGGCGCTCTTTCTCTCAGTTCAAGCAGGTCCAACCAAATTTGCCTTCCCTAACTTCTGATTTGCGAATCTTTGCGATGCCGACCATGCTACTCCAACATACCTACCAATAACTTTGCGAAAAGTTTGATAGTCTTCGAGTGACTGATTTTTAGGGTCATTTCCAGCCAAATTCATCTTAATTTGTAGTGGTGTTGGTGGAGGAAGCAGTAGTCACGGGGTCTAGCCTGATTTCGATGCATTCGGATGAAAAGCCTAGAAGATTCGCCACTGATGAATTAAGTGAGAATTAGTAGCTAGCACCCTGTCCTTTCACTCAGACTGCAAAATGAGATAAAATTTCTGTCTGTAGCACCTAGGTTTTGCTGAATTATTGCCATATCACGCTCCACCTCTTGCACGTACGAGAAGTGAACTTTGAGGCTCATGCAAATGAGAAATTATTCGACCCATAGATACTGCCAATTGTGACAGTTAGTGTCGATCCTTTTCATGAACCCAGTTGCGAATACCCGAGTTGACTAAGATATATATTGTCTAACTGGCTATATTGCTGTCGTTTAAATAACAGTTGTTTGCAACAATGCTAGAAATACGTACCGATTACACCCGGACAGTTATGGTCAATAGGGTTCAACATCTTTCAACTTTTATCGAAAGGTCGGTCCAAAGCAAACAACAGGGTTAATATTTTGAGCTCCTGTGTGGAGCATGCCGAGTCCAGATAGGCAGCAGTCATGTTGCACTGATGAACACTATGCCAGAATTCGTGTAGTAGGGTTTAGGGACGTTTGCCCGATCCAGTGCCCGATGTAAAGGGTCCAACCTGCACATTATTCGTGCGCACCACTGGATCAGCTTTGGGGAGCGTATAAGTTTCCGTTGTCACCGTAAAATGGATCGTTACAACACTTCCGGACAGGTTATACACCAGGTTTTTTGAGAATTTTAAACATAACGAGGCGTTAACGGCCGCCCGGGTTGTTTGTTCGAAACCGGCAAGACAAAGAGCCCGTGACGCAGTGATTAGAGTCTTGGATTTCTAGCCAACAGGTTCTAACCTCAGGCGTCTTAACACCTGGGGCTGTGGATGGTTGGTTGCCAACGGCTAATAAGCCAGAAATGACCATTCCAGCCTCTCCTATCTTTGGCGGTTATGTTCCCTTGTTTGGTCGGGATTGTCTCTAGCGCTTTGGCCAACGAAGTCAGTGAAAAAGTACCTCTGGCAAACGAACTTATTTAACGGCGGTCAGCAGTCGCCGTGTGATGGTGTCGTCGGCGAATCTTACAGTATTTTGTAAGGCAGTAGTGATGCCAGATTTAAGCACTCTGCGCACTGGCAGCACCATTATTGCAGGTCCCTGGCTGTCTATGAGGGTCCGATTCGAAAGTTACTGAGGGCCTTTTCACTATCTGCCATGCGACACGCACGTAGACAAGCAAATTAATCCGAATTTCCGTGGAGCACAGGTGTCAACTGAATTTTATGGGCTTAGCACTCCGATGCCAGCCGTATCAAAAAAACACAAGCAACGAGAAAAGACGAATTATTAAAGCAGATACTTTTACGCACCCTACTAAAACTGTCCACTCAGGATACAAATTCGTATTCTTATTTGCGAAGAAATCGACAAAAGTTAACCTACTGTGGTTTCTACTCAGGGTGCACTCCAGGCAGCCATATCAGAAGAATGAGTCCATAATTGGGCGACCTCTACGGATGATGCTGCCATAACAAGTGTCGAACATGGAGGAAGGCTAGCATAACCGGGTTACTGCTATCGTGGAAAGGCGAACTCTCCAGAGGGTCGTTCGTTCCCTCACGAAACCATCTTACGAGCAATATAGGCAATACCTCGTGTGACAACGAATCAGCGATATTAACGCCATAGTTAATTACAAGTTTTCAGAAACTACGACACGCCCTGCAAAGATCAATGCTGTGAAAACGCTCAAGGGCCGTGAAGGGACTGTGAAGGAAATACTATCCCAAGCTCTGAGACTGGAAAATGGAAACTGGACGCCGTGACGATACTAGCAGGAAATGTGAAACTGTAGCGTAGACCACTGAACACGTACCGTGGAGTCCCCCCCTCTCCACCGCAGTCCAGCCTCGAGTTGCAGCTCACAGAAGGTTTTAATCTGACTGCAATATTTACAAAGTCCTAGTAGTGTTGTGCAACTATCTAGTGCATAACAGTCACTACCGTTTCCTGCTCATGTCTCTGCTTATGAATCCGCGACGGATGTCGAAACGTCAGGCGAATAAACGCATTATCCCAGCGACCGAAACGTCTTCTTCTCCGTCACTAAAGCCCTCAAATAATACTCCATCTATATAATTAAGCCTACCATAGGCAAGTGGAAGACTACCAACAAAGTAATCCCGCCTCTAACCCCTGTGTCAATGACAAAACCAAATACAACGTCCACAGAACTCCACCTACAAGTAAGCAGGCTACGCCGCCTCCGTCATTCATCTTACCTCAAGATGGAGTTGGGAAATATGGGTCCATGTCCGCTTTCATTTTTTAAAGCGTATCTACTTACTGGTCAACCTGCTCTAACCGCTTGGTTATCACATGGACTGCCGTCAAGAGCAATGATAGTTCCGTGCTTATGGGCAGAAATAACAATAACAGGATAGAGTTAAACCATTCTGATGAAAGTGTGTCAAGCATTTTATTATTACAAACCACTCTAACCTGAATTTGCAGGTTATAGCAAAATAAAATAACTAAGGTATAAAAAAGCCCTGCGAAGATGCCTGCCAGAGTCGTGAAGATGTACAGTTACAAACGTCATTGATGTACGAGCTACCTTCTGAGACAAAACAGCCGTAAAGCCGCTGTTGGTGTCAGTGCTTACTGATGCTCTCGCTACCATTGTAGACTGCACAGGGAGGCCAAAGATATGTCCAGTAAGAGACTCGCGTTAGGGACTAGTTCGTAGATGAACAGGATACGCCCTTCACGTACGATTCCAGATCGCTGGCGTCGGATGAAAGTTCCTTGGTTAGTTTTTCTGCCCGTCCTTCGACCGTCATTACGAAGTCGTCTTCTAAGCGAAGCCCGAGACCACAAAATTCTGTGGGTATGTGGAAGGTGTTGGAAGCGTCGGTGGGGAAGTAGATACCGGGCTCCAAAGGAAACACCATGCCTGGTTGAAACTTCCGACTGTATGGAATGCTCGGCGTGTCATGCACGTCCAGCCCGAGGAAGTGGCCCACATGATGCGGGCAAATTTTATGGGCCATCTAAGAGCATAAAGGTTTGAGATAAAAAAGTGAAGGGAGTCAAACCGCCGCAGCATCATTCGACAGCATAATTTTTTCCTCAACCAGGTATTTGCCTATCCGTTGCAGCATCAACTCATACAGATCCTGGAGGCTGGCGTCTGGATTAACGGCCTGCTGGCAGTCACGTTGTACTTGCACCAAGACATCATGCAAAATCCGCTGCTCCTTGGTGAATCGGCCTAAAAAATAGGTGGGCGGGTGGGAAGAGATAAGTCCAGGAGCAATTGCACGAAAAGCAAGAAAACTAGCACAAGCGCAGGATTATTGCTAATGTGTTGTTCAATCTGCACCCAGTCGGAACTTTGTGACGTGGTAAATTTGCAGGAGGGAGGAGGTAACTGCGACGACTGATCGAATTAGAGTTGCGGGTTTCCAACGTTACCAGTGGCTCCTCTCTACTAAACTGGACATTTACGACAGGTTTCATCGTTTGCCGCGCTATACCTTCTATTCCCCTAATCCATTGAATGCTTGCCGCTATGCAATTATCCATGA